TTCTCACTGATCTCGTTCCTACCTGAGCCCTGGAATCAGACGTTTCTCCAGATAGTCTTAATTACCTCTTTTTTTTTTTTTGACGGATATTTAGAAACACATCTGGGTGGTGCTGTTGAGTTTTTTATAACTCATAGCAATCCTATATAGGACTTTTGAGGAGCAGCTGGTGGGTTTGAAGTGCCGACCTGGTGGTTTGTTGTCCGGAGCTGATCCTACAGCGCCACTCGAGGGTTTACCTGGGCATTAGGTATGCAGATCGCTACTGGACACTCAGTGTGGAAAGAACTGTGTTCGTAGACAATACAACAATGCGCATTTACACCTATTTGTGTGTATGTCTTTATATAGTTTAAAAACTCCAGGTCATACCCATACATCTGATTGCAGTCCACCACTGGAGGGCGCATGTAAGCCTTTTCCCTTCCTTTATATGTGACTTCTTTATGCATGAACTATTTGTCAGAATTTGAGTCCTGTGTTTACAGTTCCTCAGAATGGCAGTACAGTTGAGGCCATTGAGTGAGGGCAGGTATGGTCAGAAGGACTCTACCTGCGGGCCTGAGGCTCACGACTGAAGGCATAACTGAACTTTCATGCATGATTGGCAAAACACAACATTCAAACCCGGGGAGTTTCCTGGGGGTAAAAAGCATCCATCCAAATGGGAGCAGCACATCTGGGGACACGGGAGTTCGACATGGGACTCTCCTAGATCTGACTCCACAGACAGAGCCATCAAGCTCCATCTGACCCTAAAAGTGTTGTCTCGGTGACTATTATGCAATGTGGGGAATTTCAGTAGGGCTGGAAGATGGACTGGACCAGATTAATGTCTGCGCACCTGATGTTTTATAGACATATATTGTTAAGTGACGTAGATTTGGTTCTGCCTCATAGCGACCCTGTATAGGATTTCCAAGGAACGACTGGTGAGTTTGAACCACCAACCTTGCAGTTCAAACAAATCTTGAAGGCAAATGTTTATCTAATGGCGCCACCCCATAGATGGATGGATAGATAGGTATGATACATAATGGATGGATAGGTAGAAAGGTAGGTAGATAGGTATGATACATACGTAACAGATAAGACAGATTGGAGTCCTGGTGTGGCACTGTACGATAACCACCAGAAAATGGATAGCGCAAACCCACCAATTTAGTACCTCAGAAACCCTCTACATGGTCACTGTAAGTCAGAACCGACTTAACAGCACTGAACAAGTCAAATATATTTATAAAATACAGTACCAACAACACAACATTTCAGGGTTGGCCAAACGGAACTATATAACTTTCCCATTATTTTATTTATGTCTCTTATGCTTAGAAAATATATGTGCATGATAATAAAAGCATAAATTCAAATATCAGAAAATCACAATGAAATGGATTCCTGGTGCCGCACTGTGGATTAATGCAGTAGACTGCAAAGTGGGCGGTTCAATCACCAGTCGTGCCTCAGAAACCCTGTAACATGGTCACCCTGGGTAGGAACCGACTCAACGGCACTTAACAACAACAACAACAATGCAACATCCTTGTCATAATTTTCTTGTGTATCCAGAGATATTGTGTGCATATGCAAACAAAAGGGGCTGTTTCTACACAAATAGATGGTCACACACAGTATTTGTACCTGGCTTGCCCTTTTATTTAACGTATGTTGGAAATGGTTTCACGCAGAACACAGGATTGGCCTCTAATGGTGTTTAATGTGCAGACTCTA